TCGTAAGATTTAGGTTAAGCTCAGAGCAAAGGATCATTCTCCCGAACTTCCGCCCTTGCTTCCTCCCAAATACCTCCCACTCATCCCAAGTAAGGATGCGAAAGATGTCCAAATCAAAAGTTATTTAAGCACCCAATGCCCCAAGCCTTACCGTTATGTTATGTTACCGATTCCAATGAAAGCGGAAAGTTTTCTATAGTGAATTTCCCCTTCAAGGTATAAGGGCACAGTAAAACATTAGGGTATTAACTATGGTTTCAAGGATCCAAGAAATCGCGCTAGGTCCCTTTTATTACCAATTAGGTCAATAAGGTCGGTTTCGACTCCCACTTTATTTAGAGATCTGCCTCCTCCATGTCGAAAAACTTACGTATAGTGAAAGTTTTATGTATAAGGGAATTCTATGTCACATTCACAATAGTGTGTAGAGCGGTCTCGTCTGACCTACCCTTGATATATGCCTCAAGTTCAAAGAGTTTGTCGTCCAGAGGAGAAGCTTAAGCGGTTCCTAGTTACTCCTTGCTCAATTTTCCGCCACGCCTGCCAAATTTCCCAAGGGTGCAGGGTTGTTTTTCTTACAGGATAGTGAAACTCCTGCCTCCTGTCTAGAATTGACTGGTTCGGTTCGTCAACGGTACAGTTGAATGAATGTTTTTGTAGCCTGAGACCAAAACTATGTAGATTGTATACTAGGGTGGTCCAAAAATGTATGGGAGAAAAGTAAAATCGGAAATTTAATGCTCTCTCCCCCTAGGATTGTTCTATACCGAAAAAAGTATACGCCTGTTGTTTTATTTTAAAATCAAAATATATTTAGAGGTCGCTCAAAGCGCTCAAAGTTTCCCATGTATTTTGTATGGGAAAAAAAATACTTTTCGTAGAAATGGCATAGAATCCATGAAAATCAAAATTTTTCAATCTGAAAACTCTGCTTCTCTTCAGAGGACTTCAGAGAATAAAGCCCAATTGTTTATTTAAACATTTTTTAATTTTAACTATTTTTTAATAATAATTTTTAACGCTTCTGTTTGTATATTTGATTTTTTTTGGGATTTTTCGGAGACCCTTAAAAAATAGTTAAAATTAAAAAATGTTTAAATAAACAATTGGGTATTATTCTCTGAAGTCTTCTGAAGAGAAGCAGAGCTTTCAGATTGAAAAATTTCGATTTTCGTGGATTTTATGCCATTTCTACGAAAAGTCTTTTTTTCCCCATACAAAATACATGGGAAACTTTGAGCGCTTTGAGCGACCTCTAAATATATTTTGATTTTAAAATAAAAAAACATAGAACAATCCTAGGGGGTGAGAGCATTAAATTTCCGGCTTTACTTTTTTTGGACCACCCTATTGTATACCCATTGCCTATGGTAGGAGTAAGTGTAGTACCGCATGTATAGGACGTGGGTTTTTCTTTTCGTTCATTCTTCTCTTGTATTTTCATTGAAAATTCGTTCTCAAAACAGATCAGTTTGTTGGGGTAATCTGTTAGTACTGTAACATCTATCGAGTGTTCTTCAAATAGGTATAAAGAAAGAAGTTTTAGTAAGGCCGCTGTAGATATGAAGGTAGCCAGTCAGTAAAAATTAAGTGATTATATAATGTCGCCCAAAACTAAGACGTCTAAGACTGAAAAATTAATGTTCAATCATAGTAACTAATTTTTGCAAATTTTCTTTTTTTTTATTACAGAGACTATGATACCGATATCTATTGGGCATACAATAAGCTGCTTTGCTCTCTTCCTATATGGCTTTTTACCATACTCGCAGTAATTGCTTGCCTACTGCCTGATTACGTAATACGAGTTACACCGAAAGCTTTTAATTTGCCGAAACGCAGCTTTTATCCGAATGCAGGTCGTCTAAAAATGGAACGAAAAATAAATACGACACATTTATGAGTTTGGTAAAACCCTTCACAAGGCTGCTGAGTTATCGATTTAAAAAAAGTTATGTATTATATTTGTTTTGTAGCGTAAGAAAGGTTTGTATGTATGTTTTCATACGCATATATGTATTTACGTATACATATATACTGTATAGTAAATACAGATGTGTACTTAGTACTTAGATTTAAAAATATCCACGGCAGTTAAATGAGGATGAATGTTCAAACTTCTTCAGAACTTTGTTAACTTTCTTTAGATTTTATTACAGTCGCAGACGAAGATTTTAAAGCTTTCTATAGACTTATGAGGATGAGCCTTCAAAATTCTGCAGAGAATTTTAAGCTTTCTATAGATTTTATGAGAATAAGCTTTCAAACTTCTTCAGAGCTTTTTTAGCTTTATTTAGATTTTATTCATTCCGAACGAAGTTTTGTAAGTTTTCTATATATTTTATACATACATGAAAACTGTGGAATGCCTTAAGCGCGAGAAATGTTTTGGTAGTGACTGTTATATGTATCCCTTGGGAAAAGTTTTTCAAAGCTTTCTACATGGAAAAAGCTCTCTCTGGTCATTAAAAGCACATGTTTATAGATTTTGTACCATACCTTTAATTCCGAAACAACCGGAAAGAGCTTAAGGGAAATCGCGACGAATATTTTCTCCACCTTAGCATCTTACTAAAATAGTATTATTCACACTTTGTAAAGTGCATTCACAATAATTGTAAAGACCTATACCTATAGCATTTAAGTTTGACACCAAATATAGAGGCCTAAGATTTACATATAGTATTAATTTATTTTTTAAATAAATTATGTTAATATATCTATAGTAGATAATGTAGCATTTTTAAGAACTAGGAAATATTTTTTTCTGCATACAAAAATTGTATGATAATTTACGCCATGACCTCTGTATAAGTATGTACATATTTTTTTTAAATTAAATTTCATGTACATAAAAAACGAAAGTTTAAAAAAAAATTTGTAAATAAAAAACAATGAAATTTCGACGCAAAACGCATTTTTATTTATTTTAATTTTTGCATTATTAACTAATTAAATTAATTTTAGAAATACATATGTATGTGTCTTAACTGGAACACGAATAAATAATGAAATTGAGCAAAAATTATTTCGAGTGCATTGTTTCTATTAAGTATAATAACTACACTATTGAATAATAAATCGCAAATCGAAGATCGTAAATTTTATGACAATATCTAAGTAATTTCATTTTAATAAATATAGTAAGTTTAATAGAATAATTTTATAAATTCAACACATTGCATGCACATGAAATTACTATCTACATAAGTTTGTAAGTATTTACGTATCTAAGTGTGTGGATACTCCAACATAAATTTGTACAACATTCTGCGACAGTCAATTTTACACACACGCAAAAAAATCAATATACACGCAAAACTAGGAGTCAAATATAGTAAACCTGTGTTTTTAAGGATATCATTAATTCAAAAAATATATATAAAAAATCATTACAATGTAGAAAAACAATATGGCCATTAAATAAATGAGGCTAGAAAATAATTAAATCTTTTGATGCACAAGGACGAATAAGTATTGACAATATCATTTTAGAACCTTATACTTAAATATACTTAATTTTTAATTTTTTTTTTTAAATATGCTAAGAACTAATATAACCAATAATAACTTTATTAGTTTAGGATAAAAAAATTAATCAAAAGGACATTTTCAATACTTCTTCATCCAGTGTAACCAAAAATTTAAATTCCTCCTTTATTTGATACCCATATCGCTATTTTGCATTGCACTGAATTTTTAAAATAATTTTTTGAATAAATTACTTCCTATGTAAGAAAAAAATCTTGGCTTTCTCTCTGACTTACTATATTTCGCATTTAGTTTCGTGTGTGTATTGATTTTATCGTTTTTTTTAAATACATTTTTTGCTTTTTGTCGCATAGCGCAATATGTGTTAGGGTGGTTCTTCAAATATTAACATCTGAATTTTTGTACGGTGCACCCTTTTATTTTGTGCTACGTTCAAAATAAAAACATCCACGAAAATTAAAAAAGTTTAAAAAAATAAAAAAGTAAAATGAAATAATTTAAATCTTAAAAAAAAAGTTGCGAAAATGCGACAAAGTTTCGACTTGAAATCTCATAAATTTGAGATATTATTGAAACTTATTCATATAAATTCATAAACCCCCAAAATTTTAGTTGATCAAAATCAAATTTTGTAAAATTTTTGCGATAAAAAAAATAAAATTTTTCAAACCCCAAATTTTTTTATTTATTTATTGTATTTTTTCACGAATGTCTTTATTTTGTACGTGATGTTGATATTTTAACGACCACCCTAATTTGTATGTATGTATATGTATATTTTTGGATTAGTATTTTTTTTCAAATTTTGAATTATTTTCCTTAATTAATTTTGTACACTAAGATTTTTATTAATTAATTTTATCTATATATATTTGAATACTTAGTAAAATTAGCACAAGTATGTATATAAGTACCAACGTACGTACGCATGCATGCATGTTTTGTAAATATGATTGTTTTAGAGTACATTGTTGCAAGTTTCCTGTAAAATTCGTAAATACAACACGCTAAGTTCTAGTTTGAGTTTGATTTTAGATTTTATCTTAAAAATATAAGGATATAGATTTTTTTTTCAGTTTTTTTCTAGCTCATACTCATACGAGTGCAGTCACTCAATTACATACATACAAATGCTTCACAAAATATACATATATTCTTTATCTCCCTCTCTCTTCTATGTCTGTGATTACACGCTATCTAAATACATACATACGTATGTAGCTCTTTGCACTTTCGTTTCATTACTTTAAGCATTTCGAATACCCTGAAACATGTTGCTAAATATCGTTTACATTACATCTGTACAAGCGTACATTCATACGCCTTCTAACTTCCGTGTTTCCTAACTAATTTTATTGATATGATTGGCGCTAAATACAGGAAAAAATCAGGTACACCCTGGTTTTACTGCATAAGCACTTTAAGATCAAGCAGTTTTTCAAAACATCTGTAATCGTCTAAAAATATTGAAATACTTATAAACAATTGTTTTGCCAATAAAAAAAAAAAACATTTTAAGCAAGTTAAACGAGTCGTTAAAAAAATCAATTACATAGTTTTCTTTCGAACTATGAAAGAGCAGACATTACAGTTTGCACGAACTTAACTTTAAGGGAATCGAAGATTGATTTCATGTAATTAAAAAATAAGTGATGAATTCAAATAATTAATTTAAACACTTACAAGAGTTTGGTATGGATTCATATTACCATTCAATCGCGTAGTTGACTATAGGAATTCTTGAAGGGAGAGTAAGTTTAGGTGTTTTTTGCGGGGTGTCTTTCAGGTGAAAATATGTATGTAATTGGGTTCAGGGCCACAACGACTTTGCGGTAAACTGCGAGGCGAAGAAAATGCCCTTTTGTATATATTATCGCCGGATAAAGAGCAGTTGGGGATATCTATATTCTCCTCTGGTTCACTCTTGAACGATTGAGTGTCATGTAAGCTCAGCGAGCCCTGGCTAGAAAACAGGGCACGCTCAACTGGACTATCCTTCTGACAAGCCGCTGTGAGTTTGATATTCACGTGCTGAGGGTAGGAATCTTACCTGATCGCTTCTATAGCAGCCGCCTAGAGGATGATCCGGTGGAAGCATTCTCTTAGACTGCGCAGCTTTCCCGAGGATATGATGGACAAATTATGGCTCGCATTTCCTGACTAACCCTGAGAAGCTCCTTGCAGTGAAATTAGTCGCATTCGTAAGAAGCTTCATTTCGGTGTTCTCAAGAAGATACCAGACTTGGCAAGAAGCGGACTTACTCCATGACCGAGGCGACTGACTTTGGCAGAAAGTTCCTAGTAAAAATTCGCATAACCAGACCATCGACCTCCACGCCTTTGATTCTAGACGCTGAAGACAACGAGGTAACCGGCTAGCTGGTACGGAAAGAATCCTCAACTATCTTTGGACGATCCATAATTGCTCAGTGGGTAAACTTAGATGGCCATTTTTATTTGTACTGGTTGGTAGGTTGGTGTGCATAATGATCACGGAAGCTTTACCATCAACGCCGACTAAACTCCAATCTTGCTTCACTTTCTATCTGTAGATTTTATTAGTAAACTACAGGAAAGTTGTAGTGCTATGAGTGACACGCGGCTCGGAAACTATAGAATTTTGGAAGATCTTCCCGATGAATTCAGGTACCTGTTCTACACAGACCGACTACTGCACTAAGGAATAGTTTCCAAACAAGAATTCAATTAAGGCGTGAATGGGGGGAAGCATTCCGTTCTGATCGCGTACTCTTATTCAACAGCCATCTACTCTAACGGCTTAAGTTAGATCTGAAGGTGGGAAGTGGGGTATACTCGCAAGAATTCTCACTTAGCCTCAGTTATCGTTTGCCAGATATATGTAACGTTTTTCAAGCTGAACCAACAGCGATCAACAAAGCTGTAAGATGTCTGATCGATACTTCTATTGATTATTATGCAGAGATGTATTTTCTGATATTCAGATATGGAGAAAATCGAAAGCGTCCAGCCACTCCCCCGCTTTAACGAGTACTCATCTATGATCGTTTCTCCTCTACACTTTAAATGTTTGGATGAACCAGATTCTACAATTTAGAACGCGACATCAGAGCTACAAATTGGTTATGTTTCTAAATAAAAAGAAGACGGACGTGCTGGATGATAACAGCCAAGACAACCTAACCTAACGTAGTAGTGGGGAGAGTTAGTGGGGGGCATTACACAAGTCAGGGTCTGGGGATATACTTTTCATGGGTAGGATATTAAATAGAAGGGATATAAAAGTTACTCTCTCGGTGTCTCACTGGTCATAACGGATAACGCTTTTATATTCACCAATTTGGTGACCAAAGCGTCAGAGAGTTGGCTCTGCCTTGAAGACAAAGAAAATTCAGAACATATTTTTTTGATCAGATAAAGTTGAGTTAATTTTTCTTGTAAGGAGTTCGCCTACTAAGGCCTTTTACTGATTATTAGGGAAGCCGACGGTAACTTGCGAATTCAGGGATATTACCTTTGGACAATAGAAGTGAAACATTTTTTGTAGAAAAGAAAGCGCTATAAATAACCAATAAGCCCTGCATATTAATTTGATGTTAAGTGAAAATTTGATTGCCAATATTTGAAACTTTTCAAAAATATACGCCTAAATTTCTACCTCCAAAAATTTTTAACTCTATCGTTCGTGCTTTGCACACCGTTTTTCCCGCTTAAGCACCTAACAAACGCTTGACCGAGTATCCAGGCACCGAATAGACGAATAGTATGAAGAACAAACATATGCCGCAAATCAATAAAGCCTTGAGAATAGCCCATTTGTAATTGTGCCACACGATGTAGCGTATCGACTTGAGCGGATTTAGGAACCACATGAATGAGGCATCTGGGCGGCTGTAAGCAAGCAATGAAGACAGAAAAAGAGTTAAGAAAAAGGAAGAATTCAATAAATGTAAAGTAAAATAAAGTGCGTACTTTGGTTTCTCCAACGGATCCGGTTCACTGCGTCCATAGCCTGCAGGGTTCTGTTCGGCTTCTTCCTTTGTCAGCAAATGGAACTCGGCTTCCACCTTGCCAGTTAACTCCATCTCCTCATTCTGCTTCTTTACATAGAATGGCCACCAACCACGCACGCGCTTCTGCTTGAATATATTTACCGTAGGCGCATTAGAGTCTGACTTAAGCATATCTAGAGTGCAAAGCTTAGAGCTTTTGGCGCCACGCGGAAAACGATTCAAGTTGAAGGATATGGCACCTGTCGGGAAATGATAATGCGCATGTTTAAAAGGCTTAAAAATATGCGCATTAGGGTGCCTCATCAAAAAAAAAAAAAATCATTATATTTAAGACTTTCGCAGAAATATTTCGAAAAAATATTATGATTTACATGAGCTGTACCGATTTGAAAATAGTAAAAAAAATTTCTTATTAGATATGATTCCGTTGATGCAATTGTCTAACATTTTTATGCAGACCTTTTATTCTTAAGCTCTTTTGTCAACGGACCTGATTTTTTGGAAAAAAAGATTTAAAAACTATTTTTATTTATAAAAAAATTATATTTTTGAGGGTATTTTAAAATCGATCTAGCTTAAATAAATCTTATTATTTATCCGAAATATTCTTGCTGAAGTCTTAAAATGTAAAAAAAAATTATAATTCCGATGGAAAAATAGTACCGATTATTTTTTTGTATGGAGAGTGATGCACCCTAACACACAAATATATATTAAACGCACCAAGAAAATCATCTGCTGAGAAGTGATCTGCATCCCATACTTGCAGTTCCAAGCGCGCTGGTATTTTCACCTCTGTCTCGTCCCAACTGAATAGCGATTCGCGACGCGAAAGCACAATGCGTTCCTCGGCCGCCAGATATTCGAAGGGAAAGATGAAACGCCAGTTGAAGTTGCCTTCGCCGGTGAGTGAACGATAATGTATATCCGTAGATTGCATATCTTGCGGACCCGTCAGCCAACTGAAGATAAGAAGAGAGATAACAAAAAAACAGTTAAATTCTCGTGAAAATGAATCTTACGTTTCTTACTTACCCTTTTACATAAATGTCGGACATTTTTTCGCCCGTAAAGAATGCGTCATCTTCCAGCACCACATCGTCCGTATTCCATATAACCACGCGCAACTCGTATTCTTTGGGTTTTCGCGGCGATATATCTACTGGTGGACCTGGCAGCGGCATATCCATGGGAAACATATCCACCCACATTTCGATTTTTCCCTGTTCAATGCCGGGCTTTTCGGGATTGTACAAAGGACGTGACTCGATATGTTCAGGAACAATCTGTTAGGTATAGTTTTGAAGCTGTTATTATATATTTTCTAAATAATTGATATTCCTGTATATCACCTTGCACCCCACTCTGGGTATCTCACTCCATCTATGCAGCACAGCCAGCGCCAGATGCTCGTCACGATTTCTACAAGTAGTTGGTCCATTCCATGCTATTACCTCTTCGTCGGAGAAGGTCATACAATACTTGCCGATCGCCACACGATCTTGAAAATAATGCGGCGTATCCAGTTTGTTTTCTTTGCACAGCTTCGATAGAATCTGTGTGGGTTTCATAGGGTCGCGCCACTGATTATAGCCGCAGCTGTGGAAAAAATACAATTAATATTTGCTGCGTATTTTTCACCTCCTTGGCACTTACACTTCATATCTCAGCGCTAGCCCGCAGGTTGCACGATGTTTGCTATAGTAGCGATTTTCCAAGTCGATTCTCGTCTCGCCTATCAGATCGTCGGAGCCCACCAAATCCCAGTCAAATATTTGCACGGTCAGCATTGAATCCTGTGGAAATGTGGCTTCCACTTCGAAGCACTTACCAAATATCGGATTTAGTTGCTTGCTGACGTAGTTTTCCTTATCAGATAATCGCTTATTGCCTAACTGCAGCACGACATATGGATCCGCTTTGCCATTCAGATCCATGGGATGCAGATCTGTGCCCTTGATTATATAGATACGAACAAGCACGTGAAGTGGATCATTGGCGGGTAAGTTGGGTATAGGCAGCTCGGTGCCCTTTGGCGGTGGTAGTTTGTAGACTTTGATGGCGCCTTTAAAGAAGCCAACGGTGCGATTATCGTCCTCGGCGGAGTCGCCGGTCTTCTTGCCGCGATAGAGCGCAAATGAGTGCAGCCACTCACGGAAATAGTTATATTCTGTTTGCGCCTCCAGTTCGTTGGGATAGATCTGTATAGTACGTTAAGCGAGGGGTAGTGTTTAACTCTTCTGATCTTAATTTCTTAACTCAATTACCTGGCACACAGCTGTTGAGTTCATATTTGTCCTATTAGTTTGCTGATTGGGTGACACTTTTTCGCTGCCCGGTTCATACTTGCCGCGCGCTATGCCAGTCATACCTTTTGGACTCAACTTTTGCACCAACTTTGAACTTTTCATACCAAATTTTTGTACATTGTTGGGCGTGGCATTAACCGGTGGAGTTAGAAATTTATCAGAGATGTGTGTTTTCTCCGTTTTAGTCAGATCGATGAGTCTTTCATAAGACCAAAAATATTTTGTCCACCAATCGCGACTAAGCTCATCGTCGTGGTCCTGTTCCTGGATAATTTCATTCGGGTTGCTCACCTGCGATGATTTCTTTTTTGATGCTTGCTTCTTGGCACTGAAAAATGATTTATAAAATAATAAAAGAAAATACAGGTAACATTTTAAGCGAAATTATTTTCTTACAGCTTCGTAACGCAGGCCGCGCCATAGAGCGTAAACTGATCACAGGAGGAACGTCGATTTCCGTAGAAGTCCTTCATATTCGCTTGCTGTGCGTTAGCGGCAATCATTGCTTGCATATTGAAGCCATCGACCAGATTGTTCAAACCCTCCTCGTTCAAGGGCGCCGACAAAATAATCTGCCCACCCATGGTTTTGTATTTGGTGATGTCTTCTTTCGGTGGGGCTTTGTATATGTACCGGTGTATAGAAGTGATTTGATGTGTACCCACCAGAGTATATCGGCCGAACGAGCGACAATCTACGCAACGTATGGTGATTGGTGGTGCATAGGTTTCCTCAAGCGGCAACTCCAATTCTATGGATTTTAACATGCTGGGGAAATTCGGATTCTTTTTTGCGTTCTGTATAATATTCGAGCTGAGTATTTTGCCCGAACACTCAACATCGATGCGTGGCTTGTCGACTGACATTAGATGAACACGCTTTAGATCGCGCAGGCCCCAAAAGAGTACTTCTAATTTGAATTTCGCTAAGTGTGGACGTACTTCTTTCGGCACAGGAAAGATGGTGCCCGGTGGTGGAGACGCATTTTTGTCTTTGATCTTCTCTTGTTGGCTGGCGGAAAGTGGTTTGGGTTCGGTGAGGCGTGGCATATCGGTAGAACCGATTTCGAGCATTTCAAAAGCGGCCAACAACTCGCCAGCATTTTCGTGTCCACGTACAATATCGAACCATTCCAGTGTGGGTGTTGTATAAACATTCTCACGTAGCTTTACGCGCGGCTTTGCAATAGCGCGGCCAATAAACTCTGACTTACCAACTTTGTCTTGATCATAAATCTCAATGATTATGGTAGGTGGGTCTTTCTTGATCTCGTCTTTGGTGCCAAATACTAAAATTTCATCAAAAACCAACAATTCATCCCAGGTGGGACTCAATGTTTCTTCGATTACTTGTGTGGTCTTAGCGAATTCGGTTATGTAGACAGTGGCGTAAGGGTCACTGAGACCGGACGCGTCGGAGCCGATTAGAGAGCGCGCTTGATAGATGTGTGCGCGCAACTGAAAGGTCTGCAAATAAGAAGAGAACAAATGAGTAAGGGAACTACCAGTACTTCAAGTGGCATACAGATTTCTCGAGATAATGGATGTTATTTGGCGCCATAGCGCCAGGCCTTTCCGCATTACGCAGCTCGTGTGATAGATCATAACCGATAGGCAGACCCTCGAAGAAGTATCCCTTATGACCCACAACGCCCAACCATAGGTAAATAGATAGCTTGGCTTGTATAAACCAGCTGGCTGGACCAATTGACTGTTTGCCAGGCAATCTCAAGAAGATGGTTTGTATTTTCGCACAATGTACACCACTTTCCTCCTCGATATTAGAGTAAATCAAATCGCGTGCGGACATGCGATGATACGCATAACGTTTGCCATTAGCGATTAGCCATAAAAATATATCCGGCAATGAGTGCTGAGGCTGGAGAATAAGAAATCATAGTGGTATTAGTAGCAAAGTTTAAGCATACGGCCGGCCTAACTCACATCGTCGATGAGCAATTTCAGCTTTTGTTGGAACGTCTGTGCGGTCTTGAAGCGCTCTTTAAGTGAACTACGTGTTACCAATGCGCGTAGATTGCGCGCCAAGTTACCAAGGGTTTCCTGTAATAATGAGACGATTATGCATGTAGGCTTTTTGTAAGACGTCTGCGCTCAATACTTACGATTTCACTTTGACATAGCTTTATGCGTTCTTTGTCCAACTTAGTCTTGCCGCTGCCCGGTCCAGTTATATTCGCTTTGGTTATACTTATATAGCGGGTGCAAGCTGACGCCAAGTCTTCAAGTGTGGTGCGCAGACGCACTTCTGCCTTAACATCTTCCTCCTCAATGAGCTTATGCGTTTTTGTCAAGCCCTCTTCCTGGGAAATGTGAGAGGCTTACTAATTTGCATAAATCAAAGATAATTTGCATAATCTTACCAAATTTTCCGACATTTTCGATAGCATATTGCTATTGTACATACGTCGCCGCAGATCCGGCAGTGTGCATCTCACATCCATGCATGGCTTATAGTCCCAGTAGGGCAGGTAATAGTGTGACTTATCGTGACTGATGGGCTTACAAGCATTCGTGACGCTGCTAAAAGAGGTGGTATCGACTGTTTCCAGCACACAGACGTCTTCACCATCATCGGTGGCTGTAGAGAAGCTTTCATTATGACCGTCCAGCGAGTTGCCAGCATTACCCATGCTGAGCTCAAAGAATACCGTTTTATCGCTTACTTTCTTATCCAACATGGAGGCTTCAATGATAGAACCAAAAAGAAAGAATTCCTCATTGCGTGAGTACGAGGATTCTGTAATCGGATATGCCGGCTCGAGTTCGACATTCTTCTCGGTGGTGATTTCGATGTTGTCGGTAATTTCAGTGCGTATGGCGAGTAGTAGACGTGCGCGATAGCTGACTCCCTCGCCTAAGCCGGTATTTAGATTGGAGTGTTGATCGAGTAACGTATAATCGCGTGTAGAACCATAAAGATGTATGAAGGAGGGACCGAAAGTGGGTAGGAATCCTCTATCGCCATCATTGGATACTTGCTTGAGATCAATGTAATGTGTGCCAATAATGGCCGGTTTCATGGGATCAGCGTCGCGTAGTTGAATCTATATGGGAGGAGGAGTAATATACGAAGCTTATTAAACTACTTTGTGTTTTTAATAGCGTCTAATAACTAGCCTTTATGCGCTGACATAGCGGCGGAAACATTTCAGTAAACACCAGCTGTTCATTCCAAACTGGTGCGTAAGCATTCTTCTTGACTGTGGTCTTGCCCTTTGTGTAAGAGAAAAGGCTAATTAGTGCTATGTTAAAGCCCTCAGCGGCGCCTTCTTACCATTAATCCAGCGAATGAAACCTGCACATAAGGGCTGACCAAATCTTTAGACTCGCCAGTGAAGGCCTTCTTCACATTAGCCATAAGCGAAGAATTCATGCGCGGCAAGCCATCGGCACGGTAGATTTTCACAATGAATTTGGCACGTTGGCGCTCGATGGGTACGCCGACGGGTAGCAGTAGATTTCTGGTTTCGAAAATATATAATGAATAGTGCTTATTACAATAATGAAGTTTTGTAAACTTCGCTTCAATTATTAATTTTTAGAATTACGAAAGCATTCATCACTTACGCTTCGATGTCGTCAGGATCTTTTTTCAGATTTTTGAGGCACCTTCACGGTATCACCTTTGCCAATTATTCCAATATCACATTTTAGATAACCTTTTGGACCACTATAGAAATCATCTGGATCGGAGAGTAACGCCCATTTATGGTAGAATTGGTGATCTACAAGTGTTTACGAAATAATAGTTCATGAAATACTCCCGATAAAATTCCTACATAATTTTATTGAATTTAAAGCATAATGAACTATAAAAAATTCAAAATATTTAAGAAATCATGCAAACATTCAGAAAAAAGTTATGTGCGGAAAAATTTAATGATTGACCATCTATATAGTACAAACATAGATAGGATTTATAAACACGAAAATGTATGATCACCAATCGATTTTGAACACTTTCTATAAATTTTTGTGAAAATTTAATTTTCTGCGGCTTGAAAATTTAACTCCACTAAGTTTTTATTAATCGTGCGTTTTCAAAGTCAGCTTGGTGTTGAAAAATGTTTTTTTCTTTTTAAAATATCGACTTGGCATGAAATTTCGCATTATTAATGACATATTTAAATATATCGTTTTCGAACATCAAGTACAACACCAAACTCGATTCGTGCTGTTTTGTGAACAGAGAAAAAATTCAAAGAAAGAGCAGCCTGAACCCAAAGCTAACATTGTAAACTTTCACTAAAGCTTTTAAAAATTAGAACCGATTGGGTTGAATGATGTTCCAATATTAAGGCTTAAAAAACTTTTAAAGGGAATTTAGATTTTATTAAAAGATTTACTTCTGAGTTCAACGCATATATTTTTTTCCAACTTCAGCCTAAATTACCAAATTGTGGTTGCTATGCCAGAGGACGACGAACCTCGACTCATTATATATATTATATGTACCATTATATGTACCATTTCAATGAGAATGACCCAGCAAATTCGCATTGACATTGAAAGAGGAAGTCCAGAGCGGAGGCCTTTCATCAACCCCAATGGCACAGTAAAGTCATAATATGTAAATTTTTAATAGAGCTGAGTCTCTCTTTAACAATAGTATGCAAGGCACATTAAACAGGTAGTATCAGTAGAGCAAAAACAACATTTGCGTGTATTTTGTTGTTGCTTCTGGTATCGAAAGTGTCAAAAACTGTTCTGAATTTTTTCTTCTAAATCAAAGCGTGCCATGTGAAATACAAAAAATTATAAAAAATAAAAAATTTTAATTGGAAAAAATAAAAATTGATGCAAGTAAATTTGTTTGCTTCTCGAAGCATTGATCCATCCTTTGCAAGGGCCAGTAATCAGCGGTTGTGCTTCTGAGTTGGGCGAACGTTCCAAAAGCTGCTATTCAATCGCTTGTTTTGTATGGAAAAAGGTTTCACATGCAAATGGATTTTAACAATTCAGAATTTTTGTGAGAAAAAATTTAAAATATTTGACATTTTCGAGACCTAATAATTTGAAAATAAATCAAATCAGCTGCTCTACTGATACTACCTGTTCAATGTACCTTGATAGTATGTAAAACGATAACTAAAAGTTTGTTTGCATCACTACTTTGTAACAAAATTTACAGGAATCCCAGGAAAGTAAACTGGAATCTTTATCGAAATCTTTTGAGAAACTATATAGAAATCTATTAAATCTCTTGCAGTTCGGACAACGAAAAAGCAACAGAAGTCTTGACTTCCAAGACGCTATTGGCTAACCATGACTTCTCTATACATTTCGGGCCAGAATGAAAATTTAAGTACGTAAGATGGAAGAAGGAAACTGTAGGGAAAGCATAGAAGGTTGGAGGGCGTACACATTTCTACAAAATTTATATAAGAAAGGAATTAGAAGAGAAACAAAAGAGATTCCTGGCAGTTGGGAAAGGAGTCCGTCCACTGTCTTGGCTTCACTGAATCGAGGGAAAATCCGATTATGGCTTGGTCTATGCATAGCGAGGATGTTGAATACATTACTGCAGTAACTATACTGAAGGGAATTTTGAGATCGTCCCACCCATTTAAGTCCACAAGTCATATTATCTAAAGGCAGTTGCAAATTACCGGGATTCTAGAAATAACCACGCTAAATTCCTAAAAATCTCTTAAGGAATAAGGCTTGTGCCTAAAAATATACGACGCTTCTAGCTAAACGTAACATATCCATAGTACCTACGATTTTATATTGAACCTCTTCGGCCTTCACGTTGCATATTTTTAGGCTCTCATTTTGAGAGTTTTAGTGGTAGAAATTTTGCGTATCGATTTCTAGAATTCAACTGCTGGAGTCAATCACAGTTAATTCTGCCATTATCACTTGACAGTGATGAATGAGTGGGGTTCAACGACGATGTCGAGTAGGGAGGCATACGTCAGGATTGTTTCCTATGTATATCTTTTTATGAGAGAAAGATCTGCTAGTTTTAGAGCGCATTGTTTATGATTTAGCTATTAACATATTTGGCAAATGTCTAAGCCCGGTAAGTGAAATACCCGTAAGGACATTGAAAGATTTTCACAATTGTATAGCAGTCATTGGACCAATAATTCTCGATGGTTTCTTGGGATGATGGTGGATGTGAAAAGGTTTACAGATCTATGTATAACACTGGGGCGACGTGGACCACACTCACGGATACAATTCCATAGTTGTTCCTCAGGGATGCTTTAAAAAAGGGGACCAAATGAAAGCGAGGTCTAAACATCTTATTTACCAATTATTTACAGTGACCGATATGAAATTAGTGAAGGAATTGGAACAGCTTTACTTTGTCTGGAGCTTGAGCTTGAATAGCCTTATAAGCTTCCAGGCTACACCAGCATTTCCCAAGCCGAGATCAATGCTATAACTAGAGCAGCTGAGTCGGCACTGACACTAACTTCTGATAAATGATGTGCAAATATATGTGAATGACCAAGGTCTCTCTCATGTATGTAACACACTGACCATATGGCCATAGAATTCGAAAATTTAAAGCTGCATACAAATTACGTTAGATGTATAAAATTGCATTTGCTTTTTATTTTTTATTTTTCTCAACTTTGTAATTCAATTGGCGAAACGCGTTGACTTTATTAAAATTCGGGGGTTTTGTGAAAGAGTCAAAGAGGAAGTAAATATGTATGTATGTCAGTGTATAGATAAGCATCAAGGATATTTGACTGTTGAAAACTTGTTATAAGGAAAGTGGCAAGAAAATTGTAATATTGTAAGTAAGAGGTTAGCGCAGCAGGCGGCTATTAGAAGACAAAGAAATTCCCAAATATGCATAGTACTTAGTATAAATAATGTACAGTGAACGATATAAAAATGTGCACACTTAAAGTTGATGGGATAGAATAACAAACTGATGAATGCCCATTTAAAATTTTGAAATATTTTAACTCCTTAATGAATATCTGCTTTAGGGTGCATCACTCTCCATACAAAAAAAAAATCTATCGGAAAGGTAAAACTTATTATATTTCTTAAAAAATTTGCCAAAATATTTCGGAAGCATAGTAATATTTTCCTATTTGAAAATATCTCCAAAAATCGAGTGTTTTATAAATAAAATTAGGTTTGGAAATACCTTTTCTAAAAACGATAGACGAGTTTATGCTGAAAACGTCTGCATAAAAATGTGTAAAAATTTTATAAACGGAATCAAACTAATGAAATTTTTGGAGGTATTTTCTAAGAGGTAGTGCTCAAGTAAATCCTAATATTTTTCCGAAATATTTAGGAGGAAAAACCGAAACTTTTTTGGTGATGCATCCTAATGTATGCGGCAGTGAAATTTAAAGGGAACTACGGTACGAAAATAGGTTTTCAAGAAAAACGACTTTAAAGTTAGCAAGCGTATTTAATTTGTACGCGCTTTTTGTGAATCTGTCCATTTTCAAATTGACATTCCGAAAAAACGAATGCAGTTAGAACGGGTATTGCATTGAAAAGAGAGTGGCACCTGCTAAAAAATCGATGTAGAGTTAAAAGTCAACTTTTTTTTAACCCTTAGGCCTCTTTTAACTTTGCACGTCACATATTACAAATTGTATAGAAAATCAAGTGTCGAAAGAAAAGCCGATTTTTCATAACCAAAATAACACTTTTTTTCAAAGCTTTCTTTTTGATGCAGAAATATTCCTAGAGCATCTAGAGGCATTTCCGCTTACGTTATTTTGGTGGATAGGGATCGATATATATTTTGTGCTTCTGTTAATTGCGTTTAATTTTGAATCAAACATAAAATTTAATTTTCAGTTGTCTGTAAATGTTTTTTCATTCGCTACTGTACTACAACTGAGTACGCATAAATGTTTTAAACCATAAACAAGTTTTTGTTTGACTGCGGCAAAGACTTTCACCATTTGAGTTGCTGACGGTGAAAAAGTCGCAAGTTTAACATTACTGCACACTCAGAAAAAAGTCAGCCAAATATATTCCTCTCAACACATGATTTGGTTACTATAAACAAATAATGTAACTATAACCAAATCATGTGTTGATAAAAACATATTTAGCTGACGTAACTAAACTCTTTTCTCAGTGCAGGCGTTCACAAGCGTCAAAACAATCAGCATGATTTCCGCTCTGTGCACACATTCATACAAAGGTAATGCAAATACTACATAAGGGTACGCACATCCATGGCACGACTGTATATGTATGTACGTTTGCATGCTTGCGCACATAATTCGAGTTTCGTTTGAATGCGTGCTCTTTTTACGACAAAGGATGTGGAAATGCCACAGGAAGGAAAACACAGTATAAACCTGCCTACCCAGCAGGCATTTCAAGGATTCAGTGAAATGTAAGTAACCTCTCTTGCATAAATATGTATTTACATATACATTAAAGTGGTCAACATTTGTACAAAAAAAAAATAATCCAAGAATGCGCGATATAGCCCGCATTTCATGCGACTTTAATATAGAAATATATATGTATTTACAATTTTTGCTCAATTTCTTGAACTTGGCTGTACTCAAAGTCCAGAAACTGGCAAACAAATTGCTACAAGAAATGTTTGAATATCGACCAAAAGCATTGGAAAACCCCCATAATAAATTTTTTTAAAGACAAGCTTTTCTTCATCTTCTTCTTTGACACTACAACCGTTTGTCGGTCTGACCAAAAAGCTTCTCCAATTGCCTCTCTCTTGTGCGAATTTGCGCCAGTTGCTCATCCCGAGTACAGCTAAGTCCTTCTGTACCATTTTGTTCGTGGGCGCCGTTGCTTTCGTTGTCCACCCATGGGTGCGGAGTCGAAGGATCTATTTACCGGAGCGTTATCATCCAGGGTCGTAGATCTTGCATATGATAGTTCTCTCGATAGCACCCAAAGCCTTCTCATCTTTGTTCGACGTCGTCTATGTTTCTGCGCCATATAGAAGCACGGGCATGCCGAGAGGCTTGTAGAGCGTAATTTTTGTTCGTCGAGAGAGGGCTCTGCCTTTCAATTGCCTACCGAACCCAAAGTAGCACTTGTTGGCAAGAGTTATTTTTCACTTGATCTCCAGACTGTAGTTATTGGTGGTGTTTATGCTGGATTTTAGGTAGGCAAAGTCCTTTACTCCATCAAAGTTATAGCTGCCAACAGTGATGTGTGTCCCGAAACGCGTGGACTCTTTTTATGTTATCAGCAGGTCCTTTGCCTTTTCTTCATTCACCGCTAGACCAACCTCTTTAGCTTCTATACTGGAAAATGCTGTATACGGTGCCGCTGTGATTCAGATTGGCAGCTCTCATTACGCTTTCTAGCATCAGATTGAAAAAAAGCCGGACGAGAGTGAAACGCCTTGTCTAAAACCTCATTTGACCACAAACGGCGCGGAGAGTTCTCCAAAAAAGCAGACCAAACTCTGTTTAAGAGCTGGTACATGCGCCCTTTCAACTCTTCGCCATCGGCTTTGAAGCCGGAATACCGTCGGCTCCGGGGGCCCTTATTGTTCTTAAACCACCGAGTAGAGGAACGTGAGCTTCGTCCGTATACATTGGTTCGGGTTCTCCTTCATCAAACGGGCCACTTGTGCCGCCATTCAAAAGCGTCCTCCATATCTCAAGTGTACTCGGGACATCTGTTATCGGCTTGCCATCTTCATCTTTGCTGGAGCTGGGGTCTTTACACCATTTGATTGCTGCCTTATTTTCTGATCGAATTTTCGGGCCGCATTCCTGCTTGCCAGCATCTCAAGCTCTTCGCACTCACGCCTTTATGCCTCTCTTTTTATTTTCTTGAAAAGGCGTCTCTCTTCCCTCATGCTTCCCGGTTTTTCTCAACTGGCGCGCGCAGGGTAGCTTCGTACTGCTGCTCATTTTTCTGCAGCCACGCGGCACTCTTCGTCATACCAGTTATATCGCCTAGACATAAATGAGCAGTGGGACTCCATCTTCCAATCACTTCGTACCGCTTCGGAAGAGGTTGTCGGCTATTACCAAGACAAGCTTTTATTAAACTATTAAAAAAAAACCAACCCCCGCACCACCTAACGGCAAACTTTTTTGATGGGTTATTTTTTTCCATGCAAGTAGTGTGAGTACGTTCTAGATATAACACAAATCGGACCATAGATACGAGGTTGTCAATTATGTGGTCACCTCATATATGTAGCATTGTCATTGGGTTCTGAGCTAAGTTTAAAGCTGTCTTTAGCTCATGCGGAAATTTGTTAAAAGAGTATTGCAAGATTGCAATATAAAAAAAAAATGTTTTTTTCTTATACAAAAATATAAACTTTTTCCCGAGTCATCTTTTTTGTCTTTCAAAATTAGTTTGTTTGAAAACAAATTAGTTTAGTCTTTTGGTCAGTTTGGCTCAGTTGGTTTGCCTATTGGGTGCATACATAAATATCTCTCTGTTGAGGGAAGTCAGAATGAATTTACTGTACAGCATATTTCCAGCATTTAGCATAAATGTGTACACTAGAGATGTAACGAATAGTGATTTGGCCGAATAGACGACGGGCGGATAACAAGTTCATTGTCTGGTTGTCACCGAAATAAATATATTTCTAAAGATCAACCGGTTTCCATCTTGTTCAGCAAAATAAAATTTAAGGGCAATTCACCTTAATGTGTAAATGCCTCGTACACAATCACGTTAACCTCGTAAACTCGATTATTTTGTATCGAAAACCTGTTTTTTTACGATGTTTACACAGTTATGAGGCATTTACGCGTTTAGATGAATACCCTGTTAATAATTTTTGATTTAAGCTAAAGCTGCTAATTTTCACAGCTTCCTTTAAAAGAAACTTTCACTATTATAAGGCCAAATCTCTGTCACAGATGGCTAATATTTACCCAACCCTGTATATGCACATGAGCAATTCTAAAGTCAGCCGATTCCAAGATTCCAAAATTAGTGTTTGCGTTGAAGAGGCATTTAAGCAAAAAATAGTTGATGAATTTATTTTGAGAAATAATTTTAATAATTTTACTTATAAAACGTTTTCCTAAGATAACAAAGATTCGTTTGCTTTGCGAAACTGTCCGGCCGGCCGGATACCGATTAGCATTAAATTAAGGCCGGTTATCCGCCAAACCGGATAGCTACCGGACATCTGTTAAATCTTTAGGGTACACATGTATACATATGTATGTAGTTGTGTACATACAGTGCCGGACAAAAGTATTGGCACAGAGAATTTTTCGCAATAGAAGCAAAGTTATTTATTCTAATTTATTTTCAATGTTTTTTAATAAAAATATAGTTCGTACTTCACCAAGAAACATAAAAACAAAATCTCCAAACTTTGTGCAAAACTCAGCAAAAATTCAATAAATTTGCATACTAATTTGCAACTTTCTATTCAGATTAAAAAAAAATTCTAAGTATGCAGTTTTATAGCCCATCTAATTTTAGTATAACAAAGTGCAAGCTTGAAGTTGCTAAAAAAAACCGCGTTGATTTTTGGCAAGTTTTTTTCACTCGGGTTCTTCTATACAAAGTATGTTCGACAATTATTTTTTGTATGGAGAAAATGAGAAACACCTTCTATTAAAAATATTTCCAAAAATCAACGCGATTTTTTCAGATACTTCAAACTTGCACTTTGTTATACTAAAATTTAATGGGCTATAATGGGCTGCATACTTAGAATTACTTTTTTTTTTAATCTGAATAGAAAGTTGCACATTAGTATGAAGATTTATTGAATTTCCTAAGTTTTGCACAAAGTTTAGAGATTTTGGTTTTATTTTTTTTTTTGTGAAAAACGAACTATATTTTTATTAAAAAATATTGAAAATAATTCAGAGTAAAAATCTTGGCATTTATTGCGAAAAATTCTCTGTGCCAATACTTTTGTCCGGCACTGTAGATATGCACGCTATCTCATTTCAACAATCATCTGCATGAACTACCTTTTTTGTTGTCATTTACAGTTACCTGCATGATTCCAAACGGTGGCAATATCCAATTTGAAATTACCAATCAATTTGTTTCGCAGTAAAACATTACGACTATGGAGAACCTGAATACGCACTTAAGCACATACATATGTACGTTTGTAGGGTAGGTATGACCGCGATGGCATGCATTTTGTACGGGCAGGCAGCCATGATAAATATACATATATATAATTGCATGTGCGTTGCGTGGATGTGAATTTGCAAGTGTTGGTGCATTTTTGGCAGATCAACAATTTCCGCAAAATGGCCATATTCATAGGCATTAATTGCGATGATGATAACAATTGTTTGGTTAATTGCAGTTGATAAATATGTATGATGGTGTTGATTTTGTATTACAGATGTTTTTTTTTGTTGTATGTACATACATATATTTGTTGTCATTTGCATTTTTGGGCGGTAAGTGTAATTTAGTGTGGAATTTGCGTAGATTTTTGATACGTTGTCCAATTTTGTTTGTTAAGAAATTTCAAAAATGTAGCCATTGCCATTTTGTTTGCAAATAATTTTAGTGTTTTGTATTATTTGTTGCATATATTTGTATGCACGTGGGGTTGGTTTAGTTGTTTGTTTTTTATTTTATTTTTGTGTTACATTATCGAGTGTATTAGTAAATATTCGAAGATAAGTAGACAATTGAATAGATTTAAAAGTTGCAGATGCATTCGTGTATATGTATGCGAAGAAGGAAAATTCAAGCACAAACGGGTAAGCACAGATATGAAAGAGAAAAAGCAAATATATAAAATAGTAAATATTTGATTAAAAGAGAGCAACAAAAGAAATATTGGAAAGTGTCTTTGATTTAAGATTTTGTATTTGTTATTATAAATCACAAACACGGATTATATCCAAATTGTATTAATCAATTGCCTTACACATTGTATTACACATTTTTGTTCCAGATTTCCAAAATAAAATTTTACATACATACATACGTGTACACTAGGGTTATGTCTTTTTTGATTTTTTTTTGAATTGGTAAAAGGCTGTGGTGCTATGGGAAGACAAAATTTGAATTGAAGCCATACGCAAATTTTGATTTGCAAATTTTGACCAAAATGCAAATTTTTTTTCTGAAATATTTAACCACATCGAATTCCATTTGGATAATCCATGCCTGCCATTTTATATGGAAAATAGGGTAGTCCAAAATTTGTATGTTAAAAATTATGGTAGTTTCGCAATATTTCGCAAACTGTAGCCCAATGAAAAAATCTATGGGTATATTCGGAAGTTTCGGGCTCTGAAAAGTGAGTTGTAATTTTTGTGTAAAATCTTGGTTTAATTAGCATTTTGACCCACGTTTGTACTTTAAACCTTTATGGTACGTTTTGTGACACTATTTTGCCTTACTTTTATTTCTTACCTGGAATTCTTAAGTGAACTAAAAATATCGAACCAAGTCGGTTTTATTTGAGTAAAAAAAAGGAAGAAATACCGTTATGCGCGAGACCTTTTTTAAATCTGAACAAAGTCAAGTAACTTTTCTGGCATTTTAGACCGTGGATCATTGAATGCCACCATAGGCTTTTGGGTCTAAAAAAAATCATAACCCTAGTGTACACGTAGAAGAAATGCTGGACAAGTACTTGCATGAAAGAGCATGCTGAGCATGTATGTACCTAAATAGGTATACACAGCAAAAAATATGGGATCGCTTCTTGTGGTGACGTGTGGAGCTCAGAAATGAATGGGGCCTTCAAGGAAATGGGTAAGCGCTTCTCCTTTCGCATTATTTTAACATTGGCATGTCATTGGTGGAAAAGCCCTTGCAAACGACTTTTGATCCACCGTAATGGGTTAAGGAAGCAAAAGACAGTTCAGAAGTTCTAAAGTAATACGTTGAAGAACACGTTTTCACTTAAAGCGATTGCAGATTTTTGCTGGGAACGTATTCTAGAAGGTCCTACTTTAGAGTGTCTAAACTGTCCTTCGCTTCCTTCACCCAATGCGGGGAATGAGAAGTGGTCTGCATGTCATTACCGCCAACAACATGGTCGTGTTAAAGTAATGCATTCTAGAAGCCATAGGGGAAGCGCTTATCAATTCGCTTTTGGTTCCACATTAATTTCTGAGGTAATTCTGTTTGTTTGCTGGGTATTTTGTATCTTATGTCTATATGTATGTATGTATGTGTGAAAGAATGTAAAGCTTCATTCACCTTATTTTAAAATAACACGTTGATTGAATAATTTATCTTATTTTTTCTTGTTTGCATGTTAACATTGTGTAAAGCAGGTGCTTTTTAGATTTTAAGAAATAAAATTCGCATGTGAAACAGAATGAAGCAGAATTCAAAATAATATATGTACATACATATATACACAGTAACGTCAAGAAAGCCTAAATCTATACATTTGTACATACATAGATATGTATTTAATAAAAGTTTCTTCTTATTTGAAAAGGAAGAAAAAAATATATACGATTTAAGTGATATAATTTTTTAAATACCCGGCGCATCATAAACGGTTGACAAGTCAATCTTAAATGAGCCCACAAGTGTGCCAGATCTTAAAAATTTTCTGGATTGTATAACCTGAGAATAAATTTGAAGTTTCGCAGGTAAGTTATTTTTTGTATAGCCTTAAATAAATAAATAAAAAATATGTATTTAAATTTAGTGTATGTACTCATTAGTTAACACTGGTCAGCAGTTGTTTTGTTGGCAAGGAGCTGTGTTTTTTTTGTTAACTCAGGACCTTAAACTGATTACAAAAAATTCGAAACGCTCAGTAAAAGAAGTAAACATCTGTTTTATTTACTGCAACCGGTCAAAAAGCTATAAATACAATAAAACTAAACTTTCCTCAATATTGTAACAGTCTTATTTTTAAGTTTATCGGGCAAGTACTGCATATTTTATTATTTATTGAGGGAGAGCATATTTTAATATCGCGCCCATCACAAAATACACACCAAGGCGAATTCATACAAGTTGGTGTTACCGGTGCAGCTGATTTCAAGAGGAATTGTGCTGATTGTCAAAATGATGTGTTTGTTGCAAATTTTTTGTCTTCTGATTTTCATCGTGCATCTAATTTGTTGTGTAGTTTTTTGTTTTTGAGCTGCCAATATCACCTTGTATTAATGCGCCTTGATAGCGATTTTTTTTAAAGAAAAAAACACGAAAGTAAGGCTGGTGAATATGTACATACGAATTGCTTTCAGTAGTCAACATACATATACGTACTTTTCTCTTCGACAAAAAAAAAATATTATTGTGTTAGTCACGTCCGTAATAATTCAAAGCCAGACAAGTTTTAATAAACTCGGCCAGGGACTGCTACGATTACTTATCTGCTAGTATGAAATGTATCATATATGCATATAGCATCGAGGATAAAGCTGATCATAAAGAGATGTTGCACGGGATGCTGCCACGGATACAACCATTACCAATTGTCACGGTAGAAACAGTATTCATATGGTTCAGCAGGTACGCAGAGTACGCACAGGGATTATCCCGTCCTTAAGTGGCTGGATATTTTGTGTATTTGCGAAATCCAATTTTTTTCGAAATATAGTTAGTTTAATCCTTACTAATATTATAAATGCGTAAGTAAGTTTGTTTGTTTGTTTGTTACGCTTGCACGCTTTAACTACTCAACTGCACCACAATTTCTTGGCATAAGCATCGACCTTCACTACAATTTCTGTATTCCGATAATGAGTAAACGTAACTGCTTTGTAAATAGTAATGATTTCAAGTAACTCAATGCTGTAGCTAATTTTTTTCAAACAAGTAGATACATTTATGATGTGACAGCTATGTAGTCTACTAGACTCTTTTAAAAGCCCGTTATAAGAAAAAGGAGAGTTACCGTTTTAAGTATTAAAAAAAGTAAGCATGCATTTACCTTATGTATGTATGTATTCTAATAACATTTAGAGGAATATCTCTCCACTTTTGCTGTACTGTTCTTAAATGAGTTTTATCCTTTATGGAAGCAAAAATTTACACGTACAATAAACTGTCAAACTCTCTAATTAGATTTGCTCACAAAGTATTTGCAACCTTATCATAACTATGCAGAAGTTTTCCAATTATGCGCTTAAGCACATTTCAGCGCATAAATTTATAATCCTCGCAGGTATAATTCACCGTTTGCTTTGCATTTCGTTTGTTTTGGCTCTGTTGACAATTAATAAATGGACGGTTAATAATGTTAGTTCAGTCGAACAAAATTTCTTACTTGGTTGCATTGTTTGTAAACAAATAGTTTACTTTGAGTCTGTTAAGAGTTTGTGAACGTGTTGCAAAGTTAATCAGCGCTAATTAGGTCCAATAAATCGCAATTAGTTTAGTTATTCATATCTGAACCTGTTGAATGTTGATGGCAACCGTTAGTGTATATAGTGTATGTATGTACTAGGGATGTTATTTACCAAGGATACCGGGATTTTCGGGATTTGTAATTTGCAATGGTGGCGATAATAGAATGCCTTATATTGACAAGTTTTCGCTTTATTTTTTTGTTTAATATTTAATGGTTTTTTTTTTGTATATGTCTAGCTAATTATACATACACATAACACCGTGCGACATGCCATTTTACATACAAAAAAAATCAATATATTCGCGAAGCCATGGGCCAAATATATGCAGTAAAATTACGTTTCAGCTTTTTTTTAAAAAGACTTCGAAAATTGAAAAATATGAGTAATTCAGAAAATGGTTTCAAAAATTTAGTGCAATGTACTTAGGAAAACAGTGTGGTTATCAAATTAAAGAGAAAATTCTGTAGAAAAAGAATAGATTAAATTTTTTGGTGCATAAGGTATTGAAAATGTCCTTAAAAATTTTATCCTTGAATATCCAAAAGGGCATTTCAATACCTGTTCGTCTTTTTGAACCCGAAAAATTTTACTTTTTTTAAATCCTACAGAATTTTCTCTTTCATTTAGTACCCATTTTTATTCTACGTTGCACTGAATTTTTCAAATAATTTTTTAAAATTTATCATAATTTTGAAATTATAAATTTCTAATAAAAAAAATCTAAAACTAATAACGCAGTTTTATTGTATTTTCTCAAACTATATTGATGCAATATTTTCATGTTAAGTTATTGGAAAGTAATGAATATCTAAATCCCGGGACTAATCCCGAAAATCCCGGGATCGCAATAATCGAAAAAATTAACATCCCTAGTATGTACATATCTAAATATATGCGCAAGTAAGTATTACGGACCGAAAATTAAGCAAAGCTTGAAAGAAATGTCATAAGCCACGATTAATTTATTGTCACACTTTGAAAAGCCCCGAAAGCATTTTTTGTGTTTTTATTCTAAAACTAGCAAATGCCCGGCTTGCTTCGCGAAGCCTGATCAGAACTTTTGCGTTCACCAATACAAAAATAGTGTTGGAATGCAAAAACGGTTTGTAATGTTAAAATTATTAGTTGTGACTGAAAGGACTGAAGAGTAGAACCTTCCTTACTCATAGGCCAAGAATAATAGCGCTGAGATAAAATATGGTATATGTACATATGTACTAATCTCCTTCGTTGCTTTGAGCTCGTATTTCCACCTGTGAGATATCTGCAAGTATTGCAAGGTTTGTCGAGAGTGCGTAATCCTCTTTTATAATTCTGCTGTTCCACAGGATGAAAGAGTTTTCCCGTACAAACGGGGTCATTGATATTTCTACGTGTTCTTTCACACTCCTACTTGATATACCGATGACCCGTTGATGTGCTAAGATATCTGTGACGCTTAAAGGATTTTAAGTTTCTTAGTATGCATACTTAAAGGATGGGGCTTTATTAAGTCATCTAATTAGTTAATTTGCAGAAGGGTATCTAAATATCTTCATTCCAGCGCCATCTATGTTTTGGGCCCATTTTTTTTGCAGAAGCACTTATTATCATGAAATTAATATCATTTTCTTTACTACCAATCTTGTTTCATAATTAAGGTTAGGTGGATCAACTCAGCAAAAAATTTTCTTTTTTTTGTTAAACGCTTACATTTTGTATCGATGGAGTAAGGCGTTACAATACGCCTCAAGATAAATTTCAACTTTCTGATTCCAGTTTTTGGAGTGATGTTGATAGCCAAACTATGGCTAGACAAGGCAGTGACCGTACAAGAAAAAAGGCAGCAACCATATGTACACGCAAAAGAAGATCCTTTAATTTGGTGGAAGCATAGTCGCAAAGAATTTCCAAATTTGTTTACACTGCCAATGAAGTATCTCTGCGCACCACCTTCCTTAGTTGAATCTTCGATAATCGAAATCCGGAAATCCGGTAGGATTTTAGCCAGTATGCGGCCGGATAGTCGGATAACAAAACGGATACCCGGCACATCCCTAATATTTTTTTTTATACAACGAAGCAGAGTGCATCCTGGGCTTGAGTGATCGTTTGCCCCTCCCCAAAAAAAATATTAATGATCTCGTGATTATTATTTTCTCATTTTCGCAAAAAACTACGACGATATTTGCTTCAAATGGCTGTATGATATTTTATATTTTTTTTTGGCATAGTAAATAGCATCTGAGAGAGACCTCCCTGATTTTTTGATTTTTTTTTTGTGCAGCCGTTTGCGAGTTGTGGAATTTTGAAAAAAAAGTTACTTTTTTTAAACTTCCATATTTTGCAAAAAATTTGCCGATTAGAACCATTTTTGAAAATTTACATTTTCAAAACACTTGGAATATTGAATCGAAAAATTTTTAAAACCGTATTTCTACGAAATTGTAAAATTTTCAAATATAAAATGTCGATTTTCAAACAACTACGCACTGATCGATTTTCTTGATTTTTTTAACGTTAACTCACACAGCAACCCTTAAGTCTAGTCCGACAAAGCGATAACAAAGGGATTTATTTTTTTCATTGTAGAATAAGACATTTTCTGCACAAGTGCTGTGGGAATTACTGTTATCTGGTGGGATTCTGGTAATCGATTGTTAAATTCAATGATTATTATCTTTTTTTTTTTGAAGAAATAAGAGCATAAAATAATGTCCAAGCGTTTGATCAAACTTTAAGGAAAATTGGTATGAGGTATTGTAGTACAATCCGGAAAATATATAGAGAATTTCTTCCTCGACCATAAAGTTTTTTATCTCTTTAATTAATGCCGGTGATTAAGAGTTCTTGGTATTGAGTTGGACACAATTTGCTAGCTTTAATTTCGTAAAAAAAATCCTATTGTTATCCCATTGCCGCACTAGGCCTGTAAAATCGCCTTATGTGACCACCGCTTTGAGTTAATGATTGGAGTCAACGAACTACTTGTTGCTCATACGCCATGGGTTACTCTGCTAAAAGAAAATCAACACTTGAGTCTGCATCTGTCAGCCACCGTAAGTATGTAAGTATGTATACAGCAAGACACATTTAATTGATATCTTTATGCTATTAGCATAATGTATTATTGTATTGTCTGTATGTGCCGAGTGTCTGCCACTCGCTCACAAGAATCTATGTTTTAATGGTACATATAATTAATTAGAACACATTCTACTCACCGATAACGTTATAATTTTATCAAATAGCATCACTGGCGGCATGTGAAAGTCAAACACAAAATACTGCAAAAAACGAAATGGAGAACATAGAAAATACAGACATACAAATGAATTAAAGAATAGAACTCTTAAGGTTCACGCCACTTCAATAAATTCAAGCATTCTCAACTCAACACGCACCTCATTGTAGTACGGACAATTGGTGCTCTCCTTGACGCTGGTATATTTCTTTTGATCGCCCACTTGAATACAAACAACTGGATCCATATTAAGGCCAGGCAGCTGTCTAGCTTCAATTATGGTAATGCAAACTTGAAAATCCTGTGACTTGAGATGGTCGGTAGCGCGTGTCATTGATTTGATCCTGCATGACGTGGCCGACCGCGGCGCAGTATATATGTATGTATTTGTATTTCAATGAGAAAACACAAATATTAATATTGATAATTATAAAACAAATTGCATACAATATACATACGTACTCGTATTTACATAAGCAAATATTTAAGAGTACAAAGTGAAATAATACTTACATTTTGCCTTTATCATAGTGCTGTAGCTCGTCAACATCGCTTGATTGATTCGATTGCCCACTGTCAGCACCTGCTGTGCTTGGTGGCATGCCCCCAGCACCTCCACGCTCCACTGCTAGCCGGCGCGTATGCAAAGCATCATCGGTGTCGGCCTCAGTGGCTGAGGTGGCTGTAGTGTGCGCGGCATCGGGCTCGAAAATCAGTGGTGATCTGTTTGAAAAAAAAAAGAATAAATGAGGCAGGGTCAGCGAGATATGAGTAAATTATGTTTGCATGTAAATACTATTTGACGTTATATGAGGGTAATAATTTAATGGTATAATGTAGTAAAAGTAGGCATACTTATTGCGTTAAGAGACACTAAGTAGTTTACTTCTTCAACACATCTTGCTTTAAGTAATAAATTGCGCTAAGTATGAGCATCTATATAAATACAAGTAAAATCTTGTTTGAAATCTTTAATTTTTATACGATAGTTTTAGGTGTATACGGAATTGTGTATGATTTTGCCATTGGAATATATTTTTCAGTCATTCTTGAGCACTTTATGACAGTGCCTTTTAAATCACAAAATTTCCCCTGCAATTAGCTTTAGTGTTCCTAATCGAGCGACGTGCTCTACAACAGCGAAAAAGTGCATAAATAAAATACTGCACGCCTACATACGTTGCGCTACGATGTTGTGAGCAAATAACCGCAGGACGATGATTAAATGCATGCATTTGCTTGAGAATTTTTTTTTCTGAATTTGAAAGTTTAAGTTAAAATAACTCGTATCCTTTAACTTTTGAAACAAAATTTTTTTGAAAATAAGTTATTTTCCTGAATTATGAAAATTTGTGAAAAAGATATGTATAATAAACAAGGTAACGAAAAAAAAATGTTTTTGTTCCGTTTTTTTCTATAAATTATTCTTACCCCATTGACAGAAATTTCGATTTCAAGCCAAGCAGCAGAATGTAAGGTTTGTAAATAGCTGCTTATGCGAATGCGCTTCAACTTGCTTAAGCAAAGAAAAATAGTCTGCGTGCAAGTGCGTAATAAAGATTGTATTACAATGCAAGTATGGCGTGCAAGCTTTGCTAAAACTTTATGGAATTGCACAGATACTTGGCTAGTCAAACAAAAGTTATGCAGTTATGTGTACCTTAAGTACCAAGAACTAACAAAGTCCAAGTAACACAGTATGAGTAAGAAATTCATTTGTGTCTCGTATCTATGAAAAGTTGAAATATTTTGATTTAGACAGTAAGTGAATGGCTTAAACCTTAAAATTTTATACAAGAATTTCCGCTGTTATTAAAATCTGTTTAACCATTTTTAATCTAATAATATCTCCATACATTGTTGTCAGAAATATTTGCCGTTGTAATAAAAACACAGATTTGCGTGTATGTATGTATGCACGTCGGCATTTATTATTTATTTATGCAAAGCGTGTTATTTGTATGCGAGCGATACGTGTGTTGATAACGTTTTTTTTT